GCTAATGCCACTCACTCCCCATCTGCCACCACCCAGTGGCCTTGCCAGATGCGTAATCCTACGTGAAAAGCTAGTAAATGGGAACCTGTCAGCCACTGCCTTCATTTCTGAGGTGCTGTATCTTCTGTGGGATTGATCTGTAGCGGGCAGTGGCTCTCACACTGTAATTTTAACTCTCTGCCTGCCCAGCCTCTCTGTCAAAGTACTTGGGGATCTGTAAACAGATGCTGAAAGGCACCAGGGGACCTCGCCATTTAAAGGACTCCTGTAGCGAATTCTTTTGTAAAATGAATGATGGCACCCTAATTTATCTACTTTCTAAATTTGGGTCCATGGGGGTGTAGGGGGCATGCCTGTGTGCTGCCGCCAGCAGACAAGTGGAGGGAAGGGAATCTGAGGTTTCCTTCCTCTGCTCTCCCGCCATACTCAGGATCCCCTACCATTGGTAATTGCCTCTCGCTTACTTGTGGGAACTGGGGGAGATGCTCAGCAAGCTAAGAAGGTAGTTTGCTTTAAGCTGGGGTTTGGGGGACTTTCTGAGAGGGGCACTCTTTGATCTGGAAAGGAGAACTGATCTGGGAGCCTCTGCTTGGATGTGTTTGTATCCTTTTGATACGGTCAGACATAACTAGGTTGCCAGGCCTACGTGCCCTGTGGCTCAGGAAATAATTTGGAAACTTTGAGGTGTTGGTCCCTCTGCAACTCAGCCATTAATTTAAAAATTAATTTTGTGCCTTTATTTTAAGCCAAGTGAGCAATCAGAAGTATAGTACAGATGGCTTTTTTCTCTCCCAGCAGAGGAACAGAAGCTGGAGCTGAGGGCAGGAACCAGGAGTTGGTCCAGGAGCTGGGGGGGGGGGGGTGACACAATAGGACCAGGGGTGGGGGTAGGGTCTGGTACCCCTCACCCTGTAAGTGGGAGCCCAGGGAGAGGGATTGAAAGGAATGTGGGGGTGGAAAGGAATGAGGCGCTTGTGCTTCCTGGGGATGTAGAGATTGGGGCTTGCTGTGTCTCTGCAGAAGCTCCCGGTGGTTCTGGTTAGTAGGAGAGAGAGGCAGCCCTCCCACAATACTTTTACCTTCCCACATCACTTCCCTGAATCCCCTTCCTTTCCCCCCAGTACAGTTAAACCTCTCTAATTTGGAATGTTATATTTGAGAAGATGGCCACTCTGAATAAGTGACAAAACTGAATGACTGTCTATTTAATGAAACGCATGTCTTCAAAATATATACAGTAAGTAAACCTCAATGAATAAGGCTTTTCCACTCGAGGCCCTCAGGGAGCATGCGTTAATGAATAGATAGGATTGAAAAGTCTGTTTTCTGATATAGGTTAAATATTCCTCCTACAGACACATTTCCACCATTAATTTGCTTAGCACACCCTTTCTTCATAGTTAAAGGAAAACTCAAGCCCAGTTTTTGTTCAAATTATGAAAAAATTCCAAATCCATGGGGGTTTGGATTAATGAGGTTTTGCTGTACTGCCTCCCCTTATTCCCTCAACACAAAGTTCCTACCTCTGACTGGGGGTGGGCTGGGAGGGAGCTCCGAGAGGAGGGTGGGCAGGGCAAGGGAACATACAAGGGTTAGGTGGCGGGGGTAGGCTTCCTGGTGTGAACTGGTTTCCTGGTGTGACTCCCTGGGTTGAAGGCCCCTGTTAGGAGTCTGGGATAAGATTCTCTTCTCCCTGATCCCAGAAGATGTAACTTCTACTGCAGGTGAGAAACAAAATAGGAGGGAGGTTGGGGGTGGTCCTGTGGGAAGGGGTGGGACATGGCTTATGGAGTGGGCTGGCTATGGGGGAGGCGACCACTAGAGGGCTGGCACCCAGGCCCCCTCGAAGCGTCTCAATAAGTCCGCGCTCTCCTCTTTGGTGTCTTGCAGGAGAGGCAGCTTCCCCCCTTGGGTCCAACAAACCCGCGTGTGACGCTGGCCCCACCTTGGAACGGCCTGGCCCCCCCAGCCCCGCCCCCCCCACCCCGGCTACAGATCACCGAGAACGGCGAGTTCCGAAACACCGCAGACCACTAGCCCTCCCAGCATCACAGACCTTCCTGCCCATGCACCCCACCTGGAACAGCACCAACCAACAGGACTGGAGTTCGCCGAGGGACATCGGGATTGCTCCCTGAAGGCCTCCTTGGGGGGCACCAGTCTCCCGCCCCCACTGCACCATTTCCAGGAGGGAGAGTGGGGACCCTTAGCTGCCCCGTTTTCCTTCCTGTTGGGGTGCTGCCCCCTGTAACTCCCAAGGACCCTTGCCCCAGGACACCACCTATCCCACACAGACCCCTTCACTCCGGGGTGCTATCCCCATCCTCTGCCTCATCGTTCCCCTGAGCACTGGGGGACAGACCGTCGCCCCCACCCTGGGGGTGTGGCACCTCCAAACTTTCAACTTCAGGGTGATTTTTTAGCAGTAACCAGAGCTGACAATCTAACTCCCCTCCACCGCCCCATTTTGGCCTCCCCTGTCCCCCTTGTTATGGGGAGGGGACCCCAGGTGAGGGGGCCCTATTACCCCTTGATTTCTCAGGAGCGTCTGGGGGGGCTCAGCACGCACAAACTCCTTCTCCTCCTACCACTCTTAAATTTACTCCCTCCCCACCCAGAACCCAGATGGGGTGGAGGGGCCACCGGGGCAGGGAGGGGGCGGCAAGGGGGGAATGGGAGTTGTCTCCCTTTCCTCCCACACCTGATCTGCTCTTGGCTGGTCCCAGAGCGGGGTGAGGGGGCTTATGCCCCCCCCTCCCCCAGTGTGTTGGGTGGGGTGGAATTGAGGTTAGGATGAGGGGTTAGGGTTCAGGAGGGTGTGTATGTTGGGGAGGACAGACTAGCTGGTCTGCCCTCCCCTGGCACATGCAGGCCCCCCTGCCCCTCCCCTCTCTCTTCTTGGTCTCTACTCCCAGGGGGAGGAGGGAACTTACTCTAGGAAAAGCCATGTCTCTCTCCCCCAGGGTGGGGGGACTTGTGTTGGAGGAGGGGTGTTGGGGGCCCCCTTCCATGACTCTGTCCCCTAGGGGGAGGTAGGATAGGGCTGGGTCACCCTTTCATCCTCCCCCCCTCCCCACCCCAATCTCCCTCCACCTCCCTCCCTCCCGCCAGCTCCACAATTTTTCGGTGTTTCTCTGTACATAGCTCTCTGGCGGGATAGGGGAGGTAGGATGGATGGGGTTTGGGGTGGGTAGGTCATGGCAGGGGAGAAACCCCTCCTTGACACCCCCTCTTCCCTGACTGCTGTCCCCTACCCAGCCTTGCCCCCTCATCCCTTCTTGCGTTTGGTATTGAGACTTCACAGACTCTACCCTTCTTTCTTTTGTATGGACAGTTTCCCTTCAGTCCCCTCCCCCTATACACATACACCCAGCCGGGGCCAAATTTATACTTATATAAAAGTTGTAAATATGTGAAATTTTATCCCTGTGCCCTCTCCTTGCTTTCCCAACCTCAGACCCAACCCTAGACCCCCTTTCCTCCTCCTCTCTTCTTTGGCTGTTGTAATTATCTGGGGTTTGTACTGTACATATCCGGGGTGTTTGTGTGTGGGCTGGGGGCAACCCCTCTGTACAGAGCTTCCTGGCCCCCTCCCCCCATGCTGCCCTCCCCACCCACCACCCTAAGGGTAGGGAGACGCTCTTCCTACCTGTTTTATTTTGTTTTCTCGTTCTCCCTCCCCACCCAGCCCCGTCCCAGCCTTCTCTACCCCACCACTGTCCCTTTTTCTCCACTCCCAGCCCCATTTCCTTTTTTTCTGGAGTGTGTGGTGAAACAGAAAAATCATGTTTAATAAACGGAGATTGTTCTTTTATCACTATGCTGACTTTCCTAGGCTAGGACCTCCAGGACCAGCACAGTGATAGGATCTGCTTTTTTGGGGAGGGGGTTTACAACCTAGGAGAAACTATATTCCTGCATGATGCCATAGTCTCTCCTCCTAGAATACCACTCTCCCACCCAATGAGACTTACTCTGTTTTAGAGCAGGGGTGTTAAAAAACAAAATTCGACTGAGTAGATTTAAAGATCTGGTTGGCTTTATTCACTGATGCATGAATTGGGCAGCATCCCATCTAGAGAATAGTGAAGGATCTCAGCCCAGCTGCAGAAAAGGAAAGGTTTTTAAAGGCCGAAAGGGGTGGAAACGGGAAATTATTAGCAAAGAACGCATTGTTTCAGGCAAGGTCGCTCTCCTAAGGGACATAGAAAGGGAAAATCAGGTGGGTTACCTCACTAGAGCTGCAAGTAATTCCAGGTTAACTACCTAAAGGTTACACTCGGGAGAGAGGGTAAAACTGCAATTAGGTTAAGTATTAATTCTTAGTTTGCAGACGTGGGCTTGGCACAAGTGACTCCATTTTGGAACTGCTGTCTGTTTTGTAACAGGGTTTCACACTGGCCAAACACCCAGTCTAGCTCTCCCCTCACCACTGCCCCACTTAACCCCAAGGAGTCAAGAAGCCAAGAAATCTGATGAAAGATTCCAAGTATATATATATATATATTTTTTTAATTACCTATAAAGGTTTAATTGCTAAAGTGCTCCCGTGCGGAATGGAGGAAAGCTCATGGTTCCTCAGCAAATTGGGTTGCAATCCCAGACCCACCACTTGCCAGGCTCGGTTTCCCCGCCCCCCAAAGGAAACAGGAGGGCAACACGTACCTCGCAGGGCAGGGGTGGGCTACTGGGAGATGTGGACCGTGCTCAGCCCTCACAGCAGGTGCCCACTTAATCTCGCCCTCTCGGCACTACTTTTAATCACCGAGGCGGCTCACTAGTCTCCTCTCTCCGAGCGCTCAATACTTTCCGAGGCCCGCCAGCTGGGCCTCCCGCAGCCGCGGCCACCGCGAGACGCGCCTCGCTTTTCGCCCGCGCAACCAATCAACACGAGGCTCGTGGGCCTCCGATTGGCTGCTCCTGGCCCATCCGGCGTCGGCGTCCGCGGGGGGGAGTGGCTTCCGGCCCTGACGGCGCGGTGGCTGTAGAGACATTCCTAGGTCTGCGCAGCGTGTGTACCGGCGGGGGCGTGGCGGCGGGAAGGGCAGCCCGGCTGGCGCTCGCGGTCTCCCGGAGGCCGCATCTTCCCGGGAGCCGGGCCCCGTGGGCACCGTAGGGGAAACGGAGCGGCGGCAGGAGCCGTCCCGGGCCAGCGGGGCCAGCCAGGCTCGTGGCTGAAGGTCCTCCTCATCTTGTTCCACAGGCCCTGGAAGTTAAATCCCTGGTTGGTGTTTGGTTGTTTTTGTTTTGTTGGTGGGTAAGTGCGCGGGACTGATCTGCAAAAACTATCACTGAAAATGGGAGGTAGGGGAGGCGGGTGGTGGTTGAGGTGACATGGTACCTTCATCTGGATGTGACCCCTGTCTCTTTCCTCCACAGCCTTCATCCCGCGTGGGGTCTACCCCCGTCCCTCATCTGTACTCGATCCTCAGAGATAGCTCTCCTTCCTAGGAAGCCATGGATACCTCGGCGTCTTTGCCTCCGGTACCCCCGTCCCCGATCTGCAACCCAGCGCCACGGACCATCCAGATAGAGTTCCCTCAGCATAGCTCATTGCTGCTGGAAGCCCTGAACCGTCACAGGCTAGAGGGAAAGTTCTGTGATGTGTCCCTCCTGGTGCAGGGCCGGGAGCTTAGGGCTCACAAAGCAGTGTTGGCTGCTGCGTCTCCTTACTTCCACGACAAACTTCTTCTGGGGGATGCGCCACGGCTCACTCTGCCCAGCATCATTGAAGCTGATGCCTTCGAGGGGCTGCTCCAGCTCATTTATTCAGGGCGCCTCCGCCTGCCACTGGATGCTCTCCCTGCCCACCTCCTTGTGGCCAGTGGCCTCCAGATGTGGCAAGTAGTAGATCAGTGCTCAGAGATCCTTAGAGAATTAGACACCTCAGGGGGTGGAATGTCAACCCGTGGAGTGACCCCGTGTCACACACCTCTTTCCACCACATCCTCTACGGGAGGTTGGTGCATTCACTCTTCCCCTTTCCAGACGCCTGTGCAGTCTTCTGCTTCTACTGAGAGCCCCTTTGGAGGGGAGGGGAGTGAACTGGGAGATGTGCTACAGATTCAGGTTGAGGAAGAGGAGGAGGAGGAGGAAGATGATGATGATGATGATGAAGACCAGGGGTCAGCAGCACTCTCTCAGCCTCCTCCACCTCCGAGAGTATCATGGATTCCCCGCACTCGTGGATCCCGCCCACTGCCCATGTCCACTGTCCCCTGTAGGCTTCCAGAGGATGAGAGTGCACCAGTTGAACCTCCTGCCCCTCTGACCTCACTGCACCCCAAAATCGTCTACGTTAAGCAGGAACCTTTAGAATCTAAGGAGGAGATATCAGGAGGTGGAACTCAGTCTGGAGGAGTAAAGGAGGAGACCAAAGTGTTTCCTGGAGGGGACACTGAAGGGACTAGAGAGCTAGGGTTCTTGCTGCCCTCAGGAGCAGGGGCAGCATCTGGGCGTGGAGGTCCATCCTGGAAACCAGTGGATCTTCATGGGAATGAAATCTTGTCGGGGGGTGGGGGACCTGGGGGTGCAGGGCAGGCTGTGCATGGGCCTGTGAAGCTGGGGGGGGCACCTCCTGAAGATGGAAAACGCTTTGGTTGCTTGTGTGGGAAGCGGTTTGCAGTGAAGCCAAAGCGTGACCGGCACATCATGCTGACCTTCAGCCTTCGGCCTTTTGGCTGTGGCATCTGCAACAAGCGCTTCAAGCTGAAGCACCATCTGACAGAGCATATGAAGACCCATGCTGGGGCCCTGCATGCCTGTCCCCACTGTGGTCGTCGGTTCCGAGTCCATGCCTGTTTCCTTCGCCACCAGGACCTATGCAAGGGCCAGGGCTGGGCCACCGCTCACTGGACTTACAAGTGACCATGGAGGCCATACACTGACTTCTAGGACGAGAGAGCTGCTGCTGACAGATGCTTACCCCTCACTACAATGGCATCCCAATCCTGGATCTTATAATCATACCAAAAGGATAGATACATTATGGGCCTCTTGTTCTTGGGTGTGGGCCTCAACCTGGCAAATTTGGAAACTCAGATTTTTCGTTTCACTCCAGGTTTTTACTAATCACCCTACAGCAGAGTGGTTTACAGGCCATGTGTAAAATGGTCACTTGCCCATAATAGATCTTCTTTTCACACAGGAAACCAGATGTCACATTAGAAGTTTATCTGAAAAGAGGAAAGTTAGAACAAAAAGACAAAATGATAAATGTTTCATTCAGTCTCCATGAGGAGTTAAAGGGGCTGGTCTCACCTAGGGGTATGTTTGATTCAGAGCTCTTGTAATTCAGAGACTAAGCTCTAAGCTTTCCTTTCCCTCATCATAGCTGAAATGTGAGCACAATTCTTTTTATGTACTTTCCTTATATCTTTCTAGAAGCCCCTCAGATCGTAACTTGCTTTCTCACCAGTAGATACCTTCCCAACACCTTTATGTTTGTTGTAGTTGAGCACTTTAACAAGCTGGGCATTCCATGTGTTGTCCCTAGGATCCCCTGGAATAGAGAGTATTTCCTCGATAGCCTGTGCCTCCTGTCTACCTTTGACCCCACAGATCACTCATCTATTGATCACAGTAACTGGCATGTGACCAGTGAACTCAGGAGATGGCCACTGACCTAAAATGCTCTCAGGGTAGCACCACTGCTCTGAACAAGTGGCCTTGGCCAGAGGGACTCAGGGCGGAGACAGCACATGCTGCAGACACGGTGGGACCCCCCTCTCCCCTCCACACACACACACAAACACACATGACGGTTGTGTGTTGACCCTTGGTTGAGAGGTAGAAGGGCAGGTTTTGGAATGGGGAGATTGTCGCAGGTTACTTAATTTCTTCAAATAAACTTTGCCCTGAGGTCTCAGCTGACAGTGGACTGGAGTAAGTGATTTATGTGGGAAAGACAACGTGAGAACAGAGTTGCAAAGACTTGGATGTGTTCCTTATGCAGCTGGGTTATGTTGATGGGGGAAGGATGGGATGGTTTCACACTGGTGCAGAGAAAGCAGCTCTGGGTTTCAGTGGGCCAGATTCTAGGCCCGGACCTGCCACGGAATAATGTCTGGTAAGTTACCTTATCTTTCAGAGTCTGAATTGTTCCTTTGTGTGTGTGTGTGGGGGGGGGGCATGGACCTCCTAACTGGTTCTTTGTCTTCTTTTTTTAAAAGGGCTTGGTTCACGTGATCTTTATAATCTCTGACTTCATGTATTGCATATAATATTTGGTTTATTCTAACATCTAGTGCAAAGCACTGTGCCATACCCTGATTCATACTGTGCCCTCAAGGAGTTCACAGCTACGACTGAAGCTAGACAAATAATGACAGTGTAGTGTGGTAAGTCCATGGTAGTGGGCAGGACAAGCTACTGTGGTGGCACAAAGGAAGGCGAACAAAGACCTGTTACAGGTCAGCAGAGGTTTCACAAAGAACTCCATGTACCAGAGTGTGGCAGTGGGTGTGGGTGGCTGAACTGATGTGGAAATGGGAGTGCATGAGTTGAAGTCACAGTTTCACTTCCAGGAATGATAGCCTTCCCCAAAGCGTGTTCCTCAAGAGTTACTAGATGTGGCACCCAGAAGGGGCTGAAAAAGATGACTTTATGGATGTGAAGGTGAAATATAGCTGGGATCTGTCAGCCTCTCTAAAGAGCCATGCTGCGGTATCATCCCCATGGTAAGGACTGTGAACACATTGGGAAAGGGGTCAGGGAGCCAGGCTGCCAGTCTTCAATCTCCTACAGTCCCACCCCCGCCATTATTTTGGCACACAGTCTGTAGGTGGCTGTATGCATGGGTCAGGGTCTTTTGGTTACAAGCAACAGAAACTGGCTCTGACTAACCTTATCAAAGCAGGAATCAATGGAAGGATGTGGGTGGCTCCTGGAATGGAAGGAAGGGATGAAGGACCAGCCTTTGGAAGGACAAGACCTGGGTCAGCTCTGGGGGTCCCGGGAGCAGGAACTCCTGGGGAATCTCTTCAGGTCATATCATTTGGGATGATGACCCAGTCATTCTTATTTCTTGTGTCACTCAAGATGAAATTTTCCAGGCCCACCGTCTGGGCAGAGCGCCTTGATCCTATGTTCCATCAAGGCAATGAAGTGGGGATAGAATCCTCAAGGGGAACTCGAAGTCCTGGGATAGAAGAGTGGGGAATGGATACTGGCCAGACGACAAGACACAGGCTCTCCCCTGACACTCTCCACATGCTGCCCATCTTGGGATCCTTAGAGCCCCAGATACACATGGCACTTAATAGGTGTTCAAGATATGTTGAACCTTCCACCTTTGCTCTCTGAACTTAAGGCAGAATTGCTTCCTCCGGTTCCTTAACCCCAGAGCACTTTGTTATTACTCTGTAAAGCTAATTAAAACACTAGAGTTTCATTTTAAAAGTTACTAAGTATTACATAGAAAACAAGTTCCATGATGAAAGATTTTGGTTTAAACAAAGGTGTACCTTTCTGCCTCTCTCCTTTCCTCCTTGTAGTGGCAGAGATGTCCCTCCTGCTGTCCAAGGCTGGCCCCTTCCCAGGACCTTTGTCCTTTTTCATTACCCTCTCTGTCCTGTATCTTTATGTAGTTCCTCATTTGCAGTTAGTCATGCTCATGGGTTGTGAGAATTAATACCTGTAAAATGCTTAGAACAGTGCCTTGCACTCAGTAAACTCAATAAATGTTAGGTATTATGAGAACATTAATGACCCACACCTTTACTGGGATCAGCTCTTTCAGGGATCAGGGAGGGATCACTTACATAAAGAGAAAATATTTTCAACTAAAAGGGAAATGAGGCATACAGCACTCAGTAAGGATTAGATATTATCATTGTTATGATTACCTTTCTCATAAATGCTAGTGTTCTCCAAGGCTCTTTTTACCTTCTAACTTTATACACTCCTGGGTGATTTTTATCCACTCTTCTGAGTTAAACCATTTAAATACTGATGACCCTCAATTTTATATCTCCAGTTTTCCTGACCTGAGACCCACTTAGAATTTTTCTTTCTTTTCTTCCTTCGAGAAGTGCCTGCTGTGTACTCGTATGTACCAGATAAAAAGAGCAGGAAGTATCACAGGGTTTGGGCCTAGGATTATCGCTTTACGAGACAGATATTTAAGCCAGCTATGTGGATACTTCGTAGACACCTCAAGCTCAACATGTCTAAAATACTCTACCCCACCTATAGCCAGCTGTTCCTCTGCCCTTTCCAGGTGTAGTAATGGTTCCGCCATCCACCCAAAGGCCCAAGACAGAAACCTGGGAGTGTTCCTGAACACCTGTCCCACCTCCCATACCTGCCCTACCAATGCTGTTTCCTAAATATTTCTGATTGATGCATTCCTTCATTCTCACCACAGCTACTGCAACTTAACTGGTTGTCTTGTCTTGCTTCCCTCTATTTTGCACTCTACACGCGACGGCCAGAGTGATCTTTCTAAAGCAAAAAGTACTGTTTCACCAGCTCTTAGTTTAAACCTTTCATTTACTTCCTCTTGCTCTTCCATGAAGTCCAAAGGATCTGGTTCCGGTTAGCACAGACTCGTTGTTCATGCCTGTCTTTCCTAGGCCTCTGCTTTTTTTCTGCTCATCATACTTCTCTCTCTAGCTAGAATAGTTATGTACCTAGAAATAGCCCTCGATGGGCTAATTCCTACTCTCTTTAGGTACCAGCTAAAACATTACTTCTAGAAATTTTCCTGATCATTAAGACCTCTGCTGTGTGCTCTCCTAGCTCTTATTTCCCCATGTCATGAGACTTTTTTGGAATTTCCTTTATTCAATAAGTATTTGCCAGCTATCCACTATTATATGGAGGCACTGTTTTAGGCATGGCGGACATTTCTTGCCCTCATAAGATTACATTCCAGTGCTATAAAGGAAATAAACCAGGTAATAAGACAGAGAGTAACAGAGAAGGAAGACATACTGTACACATTGACCTAGCATCCAGAAGAAAAGAAAGACCCAGACATGCAAAGCAGGGTAAGGAAGATGGTTCCAGTAAAGTGTTTAGCAGTTGCAAAGGTCAAAAAACAGAGGTTGGTATGTTTGACAAGGAGACCAGTGGGCCTGGAGAGGAACGAGGTGTTGTCTTAGTCTGTTTGGGCTGCTCTAACAGAATACCATGAACTTGGCTTATAAACAACAGAAATTCATTTCTCACAGTTCTGGAGGCTGGGAGGTCCAAGATCAAGCACCGGCAGAGTCAGTGTGGGGAGGACCTGCTTCCTGATACACAGCAGGTCATCTCGCTGTCTCCTCACATGGCAGAAAGAGAAAGGGAGCTCTCTGGGGTCTTTTATCCCATTCATGAGGGCTCCACCTTCATGACCTAATCACCTCCCAAAGGCCCCACCTCCTAACACCACCACATTGGGGGGTTAGGATTTCAACATAGGAATTGAGGGGACACAAACATTCAGTCCATTGCAGATGTGATTGAAGAGGTAGGCTGGGACTAGGTTATATAAAGTCCATCAGATTGTGATAAGGAATTTGGGTTTTATTCTAAATGCAATGGGAAGTCAATCAAGAGTTTAAAGTAGGGGAGTAATGGTCTTTTAACATTTTGAAAGAGATTCCTCTGGCTACAGAGCAAAATTGGCTCATTAGGGCGCAGGAGTGGAAGCAGGGAGACCAATTAAAATAGTTCAGTAGTGCAAAGAGGTGCATATGGAGATATGGAGAGAAGTAGATGGATTAAAACTATTAATATTTGGAGATAGGACTGACACAGGGCATTCTAACAGATTAATAGAGAGGTTGTGGGAAACTGAAAAATCAAGGAAGACCCCTAGAGTTTTGGCTTGGACAATTAAACTAGCGGCCATTTCATGAGTGGAAGATAGGAATAGAAGAACTTGGGAGTGGATCAAGGGTTTTGTTTGAATGACTAGAAATACGTACTGGGCAGCTGGATGTACTTGTCCAGTGTTCTTCTAGACCAGGGGTTTGCAAACTTATTCTCTAAGGGATCAGAGAGTAAATATTAGGCTTTGCATGTTAAGAAAAAAAAAACAAGGATATTATGTAAGTACATAAAAATTAAAGATTATAATTTTTTGTCCAAATCCAAAAATATAAAAATGTAATAATTGAGTACAATTTTTTTGGTAATACATGTCTGCTGCTTAATTGGGGTTCAAAGTTAGTGTGCCCTATTATTGCAAATGTTCATCTGTTAATGCTGATCTTTAATAAGCTTTTATATATTTCATCTTTGAAATTGTCTTCACACAAATAGCACAGCCAAATACTGGTATCAATCCAAGAGCATATGATGTTAATTGAGCATTTATAGAATCTATTATATTCTTCTCTTGATACTTGCCTCTTACCATGTCATTGCATTAATCACATCCAATTGATGGTTAGGTGGAAGCTCCTCAATTGCGCAATTAAACAAAATTTTCTTTGCATTTGCAGTGAGGTTCAAAAAACACTGCTGGAATGGTAGTTTGAGCTCAGAAAATATATCTGCTGCAAATCTGTGTGGGAATGGAGATCTTGCTTTCTGTTTTAACTTTTGATAGCACATGAAGTGTGTATAACAGCTTGACATTATCTGCGATTTAAATGACTTGAATGACGTGGCTGCAATATGTCTCACATGTAAGCACTGTTTTGCCTTATAATGTTAGATTAAATTCATTAAGAAACATCACCATGTCTGCAGCAAGTGTCCACTGACACATGAATGGACAAACAAAATGTGATATATGCATACAATGGAATGTTATTCAGACTTAAAAAAGGAAAGTAATTGTCACATGAATAAATCTTGAAGACATTATGCTAAGTGAAATAAGCCAGCCACAAAAGGACAAATACTTTATGATTCCACTTATTCGCGCAAGTTCACAGAGATAGAAAGCAGAATGGTGGTTGCCAGGTATTGGGGGCGTGGAGGAGTTCTTGCTTAACAGGTGAAGAGATTCAGTTTTGTAAGATGAAAAAAGCTCTGCTGATGGATCATGGTGATGGTTGCACAACAGTGTAGATGGACTAAATGGTAAATTTTATGTATATTTTGTTTGCCACAATAAAAACAAACAAACAAACAAACAAACCATCAATGATCTAATGGATTTAGGTATTGAGCTTCAGTGGCTGTTAACACCACAAAAAAGAAACAACCAGATATTTTGTGCTTCTTGTGGAAAATACCACCACCACCTATGAATTAATTATTAGTCTGGCCCAAAATATCAAACTTGAATGTGATCAACTGCTTGAGATATTCCTACCAATTCACACAAAATGCAGAGGGCAAGGAAACATGTTACAACATACCACACCACAGTGATGCAATCCCCAAAACTGAGACTGTAAGAAATACTAAGGAACAAACAACACATTTTCTTCATTAAAAAAAAAAAGGGATGTAGGGAAACCTATAATTTAAAAGGCTTTAAAAGACATATTAACCAATTATAATGTCTGGATCTTATTTGGATCACAGTTTTTAAAAAAGATTTAGAAAAACATTTATGACCTTTATGAGACAACTAGGGATTCAACCACTGATTGAACATTTGATGATACTAGGAGTTACTGTTAAAAGTTTTAGTTGTGATAATGGTATTGTGGTTAAGGTCTTTTGATGGCATTGGTTCTTTATGGATAGATAAAAGTATCCATACTTATGGATTGAATAAAAATGCCAAATATACATATATGAGCTCTAGATAATTGTATAAACACTTGTGTATATATAGTCCATTTTTAAAAAGATTGAGAAATAAATTTGGAAATAGCTATACACTTTAAGAATGTCTAATCAGAAATTTTGTATTACAAATACTTTCTGGTTTGTGTTCTGGTCCAAGTTAATAAAACTTTCTGCTTGACTCTCAAGATAATCAAGTGCTCTATATATTGATGTAGAAAGGTCTCCAGTATATATTGTCAATAGAAAAAAGCAAAGTGCAGAACAGTATATATAACATGCTATGTTTTATAGAGACAGCAAGCATGGAGGAGGAAATAAGAAAGGAATAATATTTGCTTATATTTACAAAAAGAAGCACTGCTAGAATAAAAAAAAAAAACCAGTAAAAAGGGGAAAAGAAGTTAGGTAAGGGCAGGACAGAAACAAGACTATGTTTACTTTAAGACTCCTCTATGTGTACTTTGAATCATGTAGTTCCATGACCTAATCAAAAAATAAAAGTAAAACATTTTAAATTATTTTAATTTGAGAACAAATTATTGAAGACAATATTGAGAACAATATTGAACCATATTGACTTGGCAACATAATCACATAGAGAAAGAGCTCTGAAGACCTTACATGCTTAATGGGATGTACTGTAAGGACAAAAAAATCTCCAACTAAAAATTTAAACTTTAAACACTTAAATATTAAAATTTCTTAAAATTTAAACTTGTCTAAGAACTTATATTGTTTGTAGTATTACCAGTACTGGAATTTTCAAAATATAGTAATTTCTTATAAATAGGTTAATGGAAATCAATAATTATATTAATAATGTAAGGAATCAATATTTTAGTATAAAAGATATACAATTATATAACCAAAGAAACTAAGAGAAAACATAATAGCATTAAAAATGAAAAATCAATATGAACTCATGAGCTTTCAAATATGTATTTTTCTGGTCCTGTCCATCAAAATGAATGTCCGATGGTGGGGCAAAGGTGTAATGGCCACCATAACAAGAAGGTATCTTTAAACTGAAAGGTGAAGCAGGCAACTCCATAGATTATAACAGAATTTATTATAGGGTAATTTACTTACAGGAAGATTGGGCTGGAGCGGACAAACAGCCCAGCAGTTTTGTGTAAATTATTACCTGCTAATAGCCTCCTGCTATGGCACGTTTAAAATAGTATAACCTGGGTACTGGTGAATGACAAGACAAAGGGACAAAGAATGCAGTGGCACCAGGGACCATACCTCCTGGTGGTCCTGTGATAGAAGTGTGATAAGATACACTTACTAGTTTGATGTTTATTTTGGTTGTCATACCATTCTGTCTGTTACTAACAAAAATATGGCTACATTTTAAGGAACACAGATAATCGGCAACTAGCAAGCTTTGATACGCTTCCTGAGAACAGTGAGGTTGGTCAAAGCTCACACGCAGCATGAAAGGACACGAAGATGAAGATGACTCTGTTCACGTCTACCTCTGTAAATGGACTAGGAGCAGCGAGCAGTCCTAGTGCCCATGTTGTGATCTCTAATCCTATTCCCCATTAAAACAAAATCTGGCTTCTTCTAGAAACCTCTGACTCTAGGTCTAGAGCAGGCACTTTTCAAGGTGCGCCTGGGACACCTTTTTGTGTTAAGAAGCAAGAAAGCTTTAGAAGACAGTGTCATGTCAAAAGGACCCAGAAGCCCATAGGAAAGTGTCCCCACTAAACAAAGTTGTGACAGTCTGAGCAACTAAAAGAATAATGATTGCATTGAACACATTAAATCAAAGAAAATTCATTGTTTTATACTGATACTCAAAGTGAGAGTAAGTCAAGAAGTCTCATTTGTTACCATTTGAGGCAACTATTAAAACAGTTACTTATTTAAAAAATAGGTAATTAAAGGAAAAATATTAAGCATTTATTTTGCTCTCCCAGTAAAAATTTATTTTAAGACAACCAAATATTCCTAGTAAATAAAGAAAACCTTCACATAATTCTAGTTAAACAATGTAAAAGAAATAAAAGAATTAGAAAAACAAAATTTCACAAAGTCCCACCAATTTATTGATTCAGGCAAGGGTTATTAATTGGTGTTAAAACCAATAGATGATTGATGCTTGTAAACATTCATATAGAGTGAAAGTAACACCACACAGATTACTGCTTAGTCTCAAGAGGGAAAACATGAACTGTAAACCAAGTGACCAAACTGTCACCACCCTAATCTAAGGCGTCAATCTTAGCATCACAAATGGTTGATCACGTGTCTTCTAACAAAATGCAACATTAAGTATACAGCAATATGATAACTATACGACTTTATTCTTTCAGTACCTTGTTATCCCAGTTCAGGCATCCCTCAGAGCATTTAATCCATTCCTAAAAGCATGTTGGAGAGTGAATTTTTAGATAGTGGGAGCCTGTACATAATTCTTTTAAATGGAAAAAATAAAAATGTATCCCCAGCACATCTAAAAACCCCAACCAATTTCCCTGAGTACTTGAAACACTCTAAAAAATACATATAACAACCAACTAGGTTTTTTTGCTTAATATAAAGCCTTTAAATCACCAGTTACCTGATCGTTTAACACTAAATTGACTCATTAATGAGTTTATTTGTGCAG